TAATAGGCCATTTTTGTCGTGAATTTAGTAGTGTATAGCCAAAAAATAATTATTATTATTAGGTTAAATGCTAAATTTGGTCCCTCAACTTTAGTGAGCTGTACATTTTTGGTCCCTCAATAATTTTTTGCACTTTTTTGATCCCTCAACTCTAAGAAATGCACACCGTTAATCCTTCTGTCAATTTAGACTATTAAGTCCGCCATGTGGCATTTTTTATGTTTTTTTTATGACATGGCAAAAACAACATTAAAAAGTACTGATTTGGAATTTTTTTTAATGACGTGTTTGATGCCAACTCATAAATTAAATTTGTTTAGGATTTATATTTTTAATAAAAAATAAAAAAGTTTGACTCACCTTCTCCCTTTCTTTTTCTTTTTTTTTTCTTCTTTCTTCCTCTTCTTTCTTCTTCTTCTTCCTCTGTCACTGGATCCCATCTGGGCTCCCTTGAACCCAGATGGCTGGGTTCAAGGGACCCAGCAACTGGGTTCCACCGAACCCAGCTCGGGTTCGATGGAACCCAGTTGGTGGGTTCCTCGAACCTAGATCCGGTGAACCCATCTCCGGTGAACCCAACTCCACTTCTTTCTTCTTCTTTTTTTTTTTGTTATATGTTTGTTTGAAGAGATTTTTATGTAAATTGCAGGTTGTGAGGGATTTTTTAGATCCTTTTCTTCATATTTCTCAAGCATAGAAGCAGTGATTAATGGGTAAAGAAGCAATTTTTATGGGTTTAGAAGCAATTTTTATGGGTTTAGAAGCAATTTTTATGGGTTTTCATTTGTTTGGCTAGAAGGGTGTTTGGATGCTGAGAAAATATTTTCTATTTGAACATGGTAAAATGTTATGTCCATGTCATTACTTTTTTAAATTTTACGCTCCACATCATAAAAAAATATAAAAAATGCCACATGTGCGGAGTTAACAACCGAAATTAACAGAAGGACTAACGGTGTGCATTTGTTAGAGTTGAGGGATCAAAAAAGTGTAAAAAATTATTGAGGGATCAAAAATGTATATTTCTTAAAGTTGAGAGACCAAATTTAGCATTTAACCTTATTATTATTATTATTTGCGGCAGATGAAATTGAAATTTATTATGAACCACAAATGAATGGACCTTCACCTTGTACCTTTCACCTTACATTTTTCATCTTTCATATTTTACTTGCATTATTTATGTTATGTTTGGTTTGAAAAGAACACAAGGGAGGAGAAGGGAGAGAAGAGAAAATTAAATTTTCCCTTTTATTTTCCTCTATTCTCCTTTCCTTTTTTCTCCTCATTTAAATAAATAATTAAATTTTTAAAAAATAAAGTAAATGAAATTTTCTCCCTCTCCTCTTTTCTCTTTTAATTTTTTTAATAACCAAATAAAGAAAATTTTCTTTTCTCCTCCATTTCTATCAAACCAAATACACTATTAGAATTTCGTTAAAATGTTATTTATGGTCCCACTAGGTACCATTGAATAATCAATGTCATTCTCATTATTTCTTAGGGCTAACATGGTATAAAGAACATTTGATGAAATAGAATAATAGAAATTCATATTTTTAAACCTTTCTTATTTTCCATACTTTCTCCTTTTTTTTTGCCTTGTTGTCTTATTTTATCTTTATATATTCTTACTTTTTCCTAACTCAATTATTATTTATTTTATAACAAAATTCACAATATCTTAAGTAAACTAAAATATATGAAAAAATCATGACATGAAAGTGTAAAATTAAGTTTTTAATACCCACCTGTCTTAAAAAATTTTTTTTGATATTCAATTGCGGATTCTGTCACGCACTACAATTAAAGTAATGAAGGAAGATGTAGAATTGTAGATATAACTTGTGAATGTGAGATAAATAAAGTTGCATGAACATAATAAACGAATGATAATTTTAGACATTGTTTCTATAGTTATGAGTAGATAACAACAAAAAGAAGGCAAACATTTCCTATTTATCCTTTTCCATCTATTGTTGTTCCCTTTTTTGTATTTTTTTTATGTGAGTTATATGTACGCATAGAATTTAACTCTTCATTTTTTATTTTTAAAGATCCCAAATTGGTTTCAAAATTTTGATTTTTCATATTAATTAAATGAATCTTATATATATTTTAAATTATTATTTTGACCTTAATTTTATTAATATTTGGACGAATTGAAAGTGAATTTATTATATTTTACATGATTTTTGCTATATGCGCAAAAAAGAATAGAATGCATGAAATTAGAAATTTTGAGACTTAAGTGTAACGTTTTAAAATTTTAAGAACTAAATTGTAATAAAAAAAAGTTAAAATTAAGGACCAAATTAAATCAATATAAAGTTTGAGAATCAAAATGCATAAGAACTACAAGTTAACAGACCATCAATGTAATTTTGCCATTAAAGTTCAGAGGATTGTTGACACCGGTCAACAAAGGTTAGCCCTTTCTCCAAAGTTGAAATATTTTAATGAATTTTTTCTTTTAAAATATAAATATGATAATGACCTTTTTTTTTATAAATTTTATAAATTTTTAAGGACGTCAAACTTTTAATATGTTATATATATCTACTTTGTATTAAACCAAATTAAATTATAAAAAATTTGCACCTGATCATTTCGACCATCTTAAAGGTACAGTCCCCTTCCTTGATGGGTTTGAAGTTCGAATCTCACTTTTATCATTTTGTTCAAAAAGAAATAATTAAAAAAATTCATTTTTAATAAATAAAATAATATACAAGAGTGATGCATGTAACTTGGTAACACAACACATTTCTTAATAGGCAAATCAATTTAAGACGAGTATTTTGTTTTTTCGATGTGTGTAGGTTTGTTATTCAATTTTTGTTCTGGTGGACAGCAATCACCACACAATGGCATGGGAATGTTGAAAAATAAAACAAGATCAACAGGCTGGGGAATCTTTGACGTGGATGACCGATTGAAGAATAAAATGGGGTAATTATTAAAAATAAATAAATAATTTGCAACAGCATGCATTTACCAAAAAAAATAATAAAAATTTTGCAACGGCTGAAATTGAAATTCATAATTTTTTACTTCAAGTTTTTAAATCTCCTAGAAATGTGGTAAAACAACCTCTTCTGGATGGCGTCATAAAAGAAAAGTTTATAAATCTCTTTAAAGAGACGAAAATGATTTTTATATAATTGTTTTTTTTATTTAAAAATAACTATTTTTTTAAAATATTAAAAATAGTGTCTATTCACCTTTTTTTAAAAAATTAAGAAAAAATTATTTTAAAATAATATTATTTTAATAATTTTCAACAGAAATTTATTATTGGTGTTTTTTATATATTTTTTAATTTTATATTAAAATGACATAATTTTTAAAATATTAAAAATAGTGTCTATTCACCTTTTTTTAAAAAATTAAGAAAAAATTATTTTAAAATAATATTATTTTAATAATTTTCAACAG